TTCGGTTGTTGTTGTTATTATTTTTTTTTCCCGTTGTTGTTGTTTGTTTCGACGATTTTAAATTAAAAGGTAACGAATGGTTTTTTTTTTTTTTTTTTTACTCTTTTTCTCATGAATTTTACAAAATACAAACGAAAAAAAAAAAACTTTTAATTAAAACTAAACAAACAGGAAAAAAAAAAACTTTAAACTTAAATTTATATTTTTTTATATATATATTAAAACTAATTTTCCTCTGCTTTTTTTTTTTTTTCGTCTGAAAGATAAAATAATGATGATGATGATGATGATGATTTTACTTAAGGGATTTTCTTGTTGCTATATAAATGCGACGTTTCATCGTAAATAAAAAAAAAAGTAGGAAAAGAGAGTATATTAATGATGATGATAATGAGATGACGTCATTTATTTTAATTTTGGAAAATTGAAAACGTAAAATTGTTGTTGTTGTCTTTTCTGTCTCACCTGTTTGTATGTACGTTTTTTTTTTTTAAATATGTTTGCGTGCCGCGTAAAACGTGCGTGTAAAATGTGCGTTAAAGGGCGTAAAAGGATCGTTTAATCGAAATAATTTTTAAGTGCGTTTCGTTGCATGGAATTCAAATTAAAAAAATTTTTTTTTGTTCTTTTATCGATTAAAAACTCACGACAAACGATTAACAACAAATGACAAAAATTATTATTATTATTATTATTTTTAGGGAATAAAAATCGATAAATTTCTCGTTGAATTGTTCCATAAATTTATGAAATAATAATAATAATAATAATAATAATAATGAGGAAAAAATTTTTTTACGACACGTATGCGAAAATAACAAGAAAACAAAGAAAGAAACAAACAAACAAACATGGCGTAAATCTGTTATAAATAGAAAAAAAAATCAAATTTATTTATTTATTTATTTACTTTTATTAACTTTATCCACTCGAGTTGTAAAAAAAAAATTTGCATACGAGAAAAAAGAAATAAAATTTTTTTTTTTTTTTTTTTTTTTTTACGAACGACAAACACGAAATTTTTTTTTTTCTATAAGGAAAACATTGTTGTAAAATTTAGTTGTTGTCGTTTTTTCAAGTTTAATCACGTATTAATAATAATAATATATTTTTATTTGAGGTATAACGTAAATAAATATTATTATTTAATGACGTCAAAAACCGAGGTAATTTTTTTCGTTTGTGACACATAATCAAAATCAAAAATCAATAATCAATAATCAAAAAAATTTTTAATTCGTATCCGGTAGGTAAAAAAAAAAATCGAACGGAAATTACGTATTTTTTTTGGGGGGGGTTTCGTTCTCCCCCTCCCTTCTCTCGAAAATATTTTCTTTGTATGGATCAAATTTAAAACTATTCACGTTTGTTTTTTTTTTTTTTTACGTTGAAAGCTTTTGTAGTTTTATAACAAGAATAACGAGAAATTATATTATAACTTTCCAAAAGCTGTAATTTCAATAAACAATCCTAAAAGAGAAAAACCGCCTCTGGGACTTTTCTTCTCTTTTCCCCCACCTTTTCCCACCCCCTACCCCTTCCTCCCACCCATCCCCACGAATGCATTTCCTTTAATTTAAAATAAAATAAAAAAAACAGCTACAAAAACTCTTTGACTCGAACTTGTTATTGTTTGTTCGTTAACTACAATTATTATTATTATTTAACTTCAGGAGCGGAAAAGCCGGGAAATTTTTCTGTTTTTTTAAAACGATTTTAATAAGAAAAAAAAATAATGATACTATATATAATTTTACAGGTATTTTTCGAAATAAAAAGAAAAATTTAACGGTTTTCGTGACGTCACATTTTTTTGTTTTATTAAATTCTCTAACATGGCGATTTTATTTTTTTACATTTTCTCCAAGTATTTAATTTTATTGATTTTCCGTTTCGACTTGTTTATTAACTTTTCTTTACGTGTATAAATAAATATATATTTTAAAACTATGTACGTTATTACGAGTTTTTGTTTGTTGTTGTTGTTAAGTTTCAACGTAAACATTTTTTTATTTAAAAAAAAAAAATTTTATGTAATTTTATTCGTTCAATTTAACAAACGTATAAAGTCAAATTAAAATTTTCAATTTCAATTTCAATCGACTGTACAACTACAAACGTTTGTTTTGGTTTTAAATAGAAAATTTCTCTCTTTTAAAAAGTAATATAAAAAAAAGGAGGTTTGAAAGTTTTCGTTTTACCTCTTTTTTTATGTTTTTTGATTTATATAAACCCATATTATTTCGTGTGTTTTTTTTCTTTTGGAGGGGGAGGGGAGGGAGGTAGGGGGCGGGGGCCTTTTTTGGGCGGGTATCATTCTGCTATAAATGCTATAAATGTCTTAAAGCAAACGTAAATAATGTGATAAAATCACGAGACAAGAAAATATTTTTCTTTTTTTTTTATTTAACTTTTTCTTTATTGCTTAATTTCCGTCATGATCATTTTTCCGACTTGATATCTATCGTTTTAAACCTTTTTTTTAAATGATATTTTACGTAAAAATTTTTTTTTTTTACTAAAGGTGAGAGAAAAGGTTAATTTTGTTAAAATTTTTTTTACTTACTGTTTCCCCCTCCCCACCGCCACTATTAAGTAAAACAAATGAAAATGTTTTGACGTTGTGATGACGTCAAATCCTAATAAAATTCTATAATCGTAACTTTTTTCTTTTTTAATGACAATTCATTTTATTATTATTATTATTATTATTATTATTATTATTATTATTATTATTATTATCAATTATTATTATTATTATTTTAAAACGGTTAAATAAATAAATAATTTCCATATTTATTATTATTATTTTTTTTGCGGCGAGAAAAATTAAAAGAAAGAGAGAAACACATTTTTTTTTTGATATGTTTAATTTTTACTTACTTATTATAAAATTGATATGATGATGATGATGGTGGGGAGGGTGGTGGTGGTGGTGATGGTGATGATAATGATGATGATGAGTACAAAAATAATAAATCGATATCCAAGCAATTATTCTTTAGGAATAGAGTAGAAGCGTAGAATGAATGATGAAAAACTTCGAGAAAATTATAAAATTTGTCATTATAAAAACTTAATAATAATAATAATAATAATAATAATATTATACAGTGTGTCGGCATAATTTATATTAAACGATATAATAAATAAAATTTTTTTTTTTTTTTTTACGTTTCGGGATTTAAAAGTTGAAAAAGAAAAATTAAAAAACTTTAAAAGAAGGAAAAAAAATGGAGGATAAAAATTTTTTTTTTTCCTAGAGTTTCAATCATGTTTTTTTTTTTTTTTTTTTTAATATTCGAACACAATCGAATTAAAAAAAAAAAAGAAAAAAAAGGAAAAAAGGAAGATCGAAATGTGAAACTATATAGATATGTACCTTTGAAGAAGATGAAAAAAAAAAGAAACAGAAGATGAAAAAGAAGAAACGTCACAATATATCAATTTCTTTTTTTGATAAACGGAAACCAGAAACCGGAAAATAAGAAACATAAAATATTATAAAAATAAAAAAAAGTGAGTGGAAGAGGAGTGGGGAGTGTGTGGGGAGGGGGGTGTAAAAAAATGAAAAAAAAGAACATTTAAAACGAGTCGTTTTAAACGTAATTATTTTTAAAAAAAACATGTTTAAAAAAATTGATGAAAAAAGTTAACAACTTCCGGTTATTAAACTTTTTCTTTTTACTTCTTCTTTTTTTCTTTTTTTAAAAATAGTAATAATAATAATGAGAGGAAAAAGAATTAAAACGGTGATAATAAGTTATGAGAGAGACACAACAAGACACGGTGATAAAATAATTCCTCCTTTTTGAAGTTGAAAATTATGTATTCTCGTTATCAAAACTCTGCCAGAGAGAAAGAGAGAGAGAGAGAGAGAGTTTAAAGGTTCAATGATTACGTCATCAAATACCACATGTAGTTTTGGCCTTGCGGTTAATGTTTCATCAAGGTGACAGAAATTGAAAATAAATCAAAAAATAATTGGGTAAAATTATTTCGGTAAAATTATTTCGACGGCGAAGAAAGAGAGAGAGAGAGAGAAGAGAGAGAGAGAGAGAGAGAGAGAGAGAGAGAGAGAGAGAGAGAGAGAGAGATGAAAATTAGGATTAACCAAAAACAAAAAATTATTTAAAAAAAAAAAAAAAATTTTTTTTTTGTTTTGTTTGTTTGTTTATTTATTTATTTATAATTTGAAACTTTTGACTATAAATTTTTTATAAGCCAACCGTCGCGCTATAAAAAAAAAAAATCATTCTAGAAAGTTCCGTAAAAAGAGAGAGAAAAAAACTTTTTATTTATTTAAGGTTTTTAGGAGAAGGTTAAAACTTTTTTCCCAGGTAGAGTTTACGACAATTAAATTTATTTTAAAAAAGGTAAAATCATCAATGATAAAATATCAGACGAGATTAATTCACTCAAAAATTAAATTTTACTGCCTAAATAATTTTAAATGCAAATCAAATTTTTACTAAGAATAATAAATAAACCTTTAAAAATTTTCCTCGCCCCCTCCCTCCTCCTCCTCCTCCTTCCCCCTTTCGAAATTGCGAAAACGGAAAAAGAAAATTTTTTCTCCATATAAAATCATATGAATGTTATTATTATTTTTCACACCTGACCACGTTTTAAATTTTTCCCGCGTAATTTTTAAATTGTTTACTTTATTGTGACGTCAACAAACAACGTAGGCATCGATTCTAATAGCACGTTTAAGTGTTAGTTTTATTAAAACGGTGGCAAACGATGGTAATCGGTTTAAAGGTTTTTATTTTATTTTAATTTTTTTCCAGGTTTAATCGTTCGAAATGTTAAGAAAAACAATAAAATTATTATCATTAATATTTATTAATAATTATCGATAAATAATTAATTAATTTAAAAATGATTAAAAATAAAAAAAAATTAATTTTTTAATTTATTATAAATAGACGCGTGTTTCGATATAATAATAATAATAATGAATTAAACGGGGGTAAAAAGAAAGAAAAAAGAGAAAAATGTCGCCTTTAATTTTTCATACGGTTTTAACAGTTTTGTGTTTTACATCGACTATCGTGGTTTCGTTTAGTTGCGTTTGTAGTCCGTCTGAATGTGAGGACATATCAAAAGACGATTGTCCAGGTGGTGGAACCGTTTGGGATCCGTGCCGGTGCTGTAGAGTTTGCGCAAGAATCGAAGGTGAAGCATGTGGGGGACCGCACGGATTTTATGGAACGTGCGCCGATGGTTTGGATTGCATAGTTGCTTCCCATGCTTCTGGAAAACCCGTTTTAGCGGCTAATTCCGAAGGGATATGCACTCGTAAGTTTTTTTAAACTTTTTATTTATAATTTTTAATAGTAATAATAATGATGATACAAAGGAAATTAACATTTCTTTTGTATTTTCTCTTCTTTTCTCTTTTTCGTGTCTTTTCGTATAAAAAAAAAAATTCTATATCCTGTTTCCTCTTCCTCCTTTTCTCTTCTTCCCTCTCCCCTCCCCTCCCAACAACTCCTACTCCTTATGCAAACAAATGATAATAATAATAATTAAAAATATTTTTTGGTGAAATTCACTTTCTTTAACTTCTTATTAAATATTATCGTTTCGTTTATTTATTTTAGTTTTATTATTATTATTAAAAAACATAACGAAAAAAAATAAATTATTTATTTATTTATTGTAAACATTTCGTACAAATCAATAAAAAAATAAAATAAAAATTTATTAATATCATCATTTAAATATGATAAATTAGGTTCAAAGGTCTTGTGTGTCTGTGTGTTGTGGAAAAAAAAAAATTTTTTTCTCAACCTTTTTCGATAATAAAACTAAGTTTATATTGCGTGGCATATTGACTTTTTCAAACCTTTTTACCCGCTAATAAAAATAATATAACTTCAATTTTTTTTTCTTTTTCCTTTTTTTCTCTTTTTTTTTTTTCTTTTTAACTCGTTAGTTATTAAACGTAGACATTTTGTGGCGTGAAAAGGAAAAAAAAAATAATAATAATATTTATTTGTTAATAACAACAAGTGGGATTAAAAAACGAAAAAAGAAAAGTTAAATATTATTTAAAACCACGTTCGATAAAAAAATTATTTGTTTAAAATTAATAATAATAATAATAATAATAATTTTTTTATCTCTTTGTGATTTTTAATTAAAATGTTTTAATTAATTATATTTTTCCCGCCATTTTTTTTTTTTAAATTCGATGACTTTTTTTTTTTTTTTATGGAAAAATTTAAAGTTTTCGGTTCGTTTGTTATTTTATTTTATTTCCAAATTTTCACCATCTCTCTCTCTCTCTCTCTCTCTTTCTCACTCTCTCTCTGCTGTCCTTTTTCTGCAACTTTTAGTTTTTTTTATTTAATGTCTGGCAACAAAATAAATATTTTTGGGGTTTTATCCGCTGGTTTTATTTTGTGTGACGTTGAATTATAAAGACATTCAATCTTCATTTTGGCAATTAGTTTAATTTACTCGTTGTCGTCAAAATGCGAAACAAACGAACAAACTCACGCAAACACCTGACAAATATAACGAAATATAAAATCTAATTAACGAGAGGTTGTTTTTATTTCCCCCCCCCCCGCCCGCCCGAACAAAAAAAATATTTAATAAAAATTCCCGTTTCGAAATAAACGTTGGTTTTTATCATGTTTTAACTCGTGTTAAAACGTTTCGCATTCCAACCGGAATACAAATGATTTTGTATGTTCGAAATTCGCCACACACCTGGCCGGAAATAATAATAATAATAATAATAATAATGATGATGATGATGACGACGATGACGGTGAAAAAGGGAATAATCGATCTTTTTAAATTTAAAATTTTTTCCTCTTTTGTTTTCCCTAATAAAATTTTATTTTATCGCGTAGACATCAATAATATATATATAAAACATAACTTTGTGTTAAGTCACGTGATAATTTCATAATCACGGGGAAGGGTACGTAATAAGGGGGGGAGGGCGCATGCGAAGGATTTTAGTTTATTTTTTTTTCCAGACGAAAAATTGCAAAAAAGTAAAAACATTCGAAACACGGTTGACTTGGCAATAATATTAATAATAATAATAATAATAAAAATAATAAGGAGAAGAAGAAGAAGCAGAAGAAAAAAAGAAAGTTGATTAATACTTTTTTAAATAAGTATATAAATAAATAAGTTTTCTTGGAAAAATAAAAAAAACAAAAAACCAACGGAAAATGTTAAATAAGATTTTTTTTTTCCCCCCTCCCCCTTTTTAAGTTATGCAAATCAGTTTTCTTTATTATTAATAAACGAGAAAAGAGAGAGAGAGAGAGAAAGAGTGTGAGTGAGAGAGAGAAAGAGAAAGAAAGTCAAAGTGCCCTTCGGTAGTTAGAAAATTTTCATCAAATAACTTTTACAATTTCATTCAATGTCTCTAAGGTAAACTCGTATGGTTTAAAATTTGAAATTATTGAAACTTTTTGAAAAGCCCTAAAGAAAATTATATATACTATTTTATACACTCTTCATGTCTCAACCATGTAATAATTAACTTCCATCAGTTTTGAATAACCAGTTTCCAGTTTTCTTTTATTTTTATTTATTTTCCCTACCCCCCCTCGCCTCACAACCACCACCACCATCATCACCACCATCACCGTCCTGCCAATCACGAATATACGTATAAATAAAAAAATCACGTTAAATAATAATAATAATGATATCGCGTATTTACGTAAATTAACGAACTCTCGTAATTTAAAAAAAAAAAAAAAATGAACGAGTTGCGTATAAAATTTTTTATTATCATTATTATTATTTTTCTAAAAGCGAAAACAATGACTAGCAATTACCGTGCTTGATTTTTTTTCTTTATTTTTTTTTTGGGGGGAGGGAGAAGGGGAGTGTGTGGAAATTCATAGAGTAAATAAATTATTTTAATTGTGTCTTTTCGCATTTTTTTTTTTTTATTTCGCGATTTTTAATGTTGTTGTTATTATTATTATTATTTCGATGATGCATTTGTGTTTTTTTTTTTTTAAAAAAAAATATTGAGAGTGTGAAGAGGAAGAAGGGAGAGAGAAAGAGCGAATGAGGAAGAAAAATTTATAAAAAATTGATTTGATTTTTAAAATTGAAAGCGCCTCTTCCTTCCCCCACTTCTCCCCACCATCGAAAAAAAGAAAACATCATCTTTCGTTTTTTTTTTTTTTCGTTTTCTATTCTTCTTTTTTTTACATTTCCGCAGATTTTTTTTTCTTTTCTCCTTTTTCGCGTTGGTCGATTTTGCAATATGAAAATTTTAAGACGAAAATTCAATTTTTTTTTTTTCCCCCCTTTCAACGCTTTGATTTTTTTCGATTCCAGCATCTTCCAGCATCTTCCGTTCTCTCTCGTATGGAGTAAAAAAATTCGGTCGAAGGACGTATTTTAATAATCCACACGCGCACACTCACACATACACGCACAAAAAAAATTATTCTTGCGCGTTTTTCTTTTTTCCTTTTTTGATAATTTAAAAATATAAATATTCGAAAGAAAATAATAATAATAATAATAATAATAATTTTATATATACATAGTATGTATATATTTTATATTATATAGAAAATTTCATCAGAATAAAATATTGAAAAGAGGAGAAGAATAAAAAAAACATAATAAAAACAATAACTTTGAAAACCTATTGAAAGATATTTTCTCCATTTATTCCTTCCATCTCTTTCTATCTTCCTTTCTCTCTCTCTCTTTTATTATTTATTTTTTTCTTATATTTTATCCTCGATCGATGTTTTCCTTCTTTTACAAATTATCATCACGTAAATAACAACAGTAATAATAATAATAATAATAATAATTTGCGAGTTTTAATGATAAAAAATTACATTTTTAACATTGTTATTATTATTAATAAAAAAAATTTAATTATTGATAATTGGTTGAAAGGTTTTTTTTTTTTTATGATAACATAACGTGAGTCAATATATAATTTTTCCTTTTTACGTTTGAAAAATAAACCTTTGTTTATATCATAAAATCAAAAAAAAAAAAAAAATTATCGAACGAAAGAGTAATTTTGATAATTAATTTTTATATTAATATATATATATTTTATTACTTGCGTCGTATGTCTTTAAGTTTGAATTAGAAAAAGGAAGGAAAAAAAAGGAAAAATACAAAGGAAATGATTCAAGGGAAAAGGAAAAAATGATGGGAATAAAAAAAGGAAAAATTTTTTAGTTTTTGTAATGTTAAGAATAATATTATCGGTGATGAGCCGAAAATTCGATTTTTTATTTATTTATTATAAATAAAAAAGGAAAAAAAAAGGAGAAAAGGAGAAAAGAAAATTTTTTTTTTTTTGTAAAACCGGAAGTTTATTTTTTTTTTCCACGTGTCAAAACGTCAAGATTTCAAGTGAAAATCCGTCAGATTAAATTTCAAATATTTTAAACAAAAAAAAAAAAAAACACCTGATTGCGTTTATAAAATGTGACGTATACGTACATATATATATATTTCCCGCCATAAATTTTTTTTTTCTTTTTTTTTTTTTTTCTACCGCTCGCTAATGAAAAACAAAACAAAATAAAAAAAATAATGATGATAATCCTTCTTTACGTTTTACCAACATAAAAAAAAAAAAAAAATTCGTTAACGAATTTACCAAACATTTAACGTGAATAAAAATGGCGCCCTTTTTTTTTTTTTTTTTTTTTTTTAAAAAGATCGTACGGGCTAGTGGGGGGCGATGCTGGGAGGGGGGGAGGGGAGGGAAAAAGGGAGGACCGGGGGGGAGGGAAATTAAAAAAAAAAAAAATTCAAAACCTTACAAAACCTTTTTTTTTTTTTGAATACGAAAGTATTAAATAAATATTATAATTGAAAATAAAATTTTAAGCTTTTAATTTTTTTTTTTTTTTTTTAGGTTTTGAGATTTATATATATATAAAAATGAGTAAAGCTCGAATTTTTTTTTTTCCCCCTTTCATCATCATCACCATCATCATCATTAAATTTTTATCATGGCTTAATGACGTCATTAACTCGATGGAAAAATTTTTTTAAAAATTAAATGTATTTTTTTTTTTTTAGATTTAATTTAATTTAATTTTATAATCGATAAAAAAATTTAAAATTTTATTAAAAAACTTTATTTATTTATTTTATTTATTTATTAATTAATAATACTAAATATTTATCGAAATAATTAAATAAATAAATAAATAATTATTTATTCGATAATTTTGTGATAATTTATTAAAAAAAAAAAAATTAAATATGTCCGATCGTAATTAAAATTAAAAAAAAAATTTCCCGTATTATTTTTAATCATCATCATCATCATTATTATCATTAAAAAAAAATTTTTTTCCCCGTCATGTTTTCCATTCACCTCTCGAACGTCGATAATAAGAATAATGATAATGATTTATTTGATAATATTCATATAATGTAAAAAGCAGAAGAAGAAACAATTTTTTTATTTTTTTTGTTTTATATATATTTAATAGAACGTGTTTGTTTTTTCCTTTTTGTTTTGTTTTGTTCTGAATCCTTTTGTATCCTTTTTTTTTGTTTGTTAGAAAAAAGGTTTTTCAAAATGGATGAAAAGGTAAAAAGTAACAAAAAACTTTTTTTGACCTTTTAAAAAAAAAGGTGTAAATCAGTAAAAGGATGCATCGTTTACGATACGGTAATTGAACGTTGAAAGAAAAAAATTTCATTTTGACTGACTAGAAAAAAAAAAAAAATTGGGGAGGCGAGAGGGGTTTCTAGATCGGGGGGAGAAGGGAGGGGAAGGAAAGAAAATAATGTAATAATTAACGGGTAATGAAAAATAAATAAATAATTATTATTTTTTCCTTTTTCTTTAAAGACTATAAAAAGAAAAAAAAAAATTAACCGCCATTTTATTTTTTTTTTTACTGACCCCCGTACGAGTCAAACCTTTTCAATTAAAAGGGTAATTAACTCTCGAATTGTAAAACGTTGTTGTAAACGAACCTTTTTGATGTTTTTCTTTTTCTACCGGAAACCGGAAACACACGAAATAATAATAATAAAAAACAATTTTCTTTTTTTTGTTAATTACAAGAAAATTATTATTATTATTATCTTTTTGACAATTCATGGATATATATATATATATTGAATGAGGAAAGTAAGATTCGAAGAAAAAAAAATGGCGGTGTGAGAGAGAGAGAGAGGATGGAGATGGGAAAAAAAGGAATTCGGAATTTGCTTTTCTTAAGGTTTTTTTTTTTTTTTTTTTTTTTTTTTGCTTTTCCCCCCCCCCCCCCCTTTTTTTTTTTTTGCTCCTCAATTTTTTTTTTTTTTTTTTCATCTTTTTCGCCCCCTTCCTCCGGATATTCAAGCTTTGAATTTTAAATTTACTTTTTTTTTTTTTTTTTTTTTTTTTTTTTTTTAATAACAAAAAGGACTCAAAAAAAATCTTTTTTTTTCCCCCCTGATTTTTTTTTATTTTTATTTTTAATA